CAAACTCTCAAGCTCTCAAACTCTCAAACCTTCAAACTCTCAAGCTCTCAAATTCTCAAACTCTCAAATTCCCAAACTCTCAAGCTCTCAAACTTCCAAACTCTCACACTCTCAAACTCTCAATCTCACAAATCCCCAAATCTCCACATCCTAAACTCTTAAATCCCCAAATCTCCACATCCCAAATTCTCAAATCCCCAAATCTCCACATCCCAAACTCTCAAATCTCCAAATCCTCAAATCACCACATCTCAAACTCACAACCTAACCCTGTCTCCCCTAACCTTTCAGTACCCACTAATTTCGGTTTTCAAAGTAAACGAAACTCCAACAACGATTAAATCGGTTGAAAATTTGCAAGGGAGCGTTTCGAATGTCCATCACCGTGCTCGCAGATTTATCGCGCACACGGCTGGCGAGTTAATCGAGGCTGGGAGAGCAGAGACGATTAAGCTCTCGCCGAGCTCTCGAGAACTTTCGCGCTGACGATGATGGACTGCGTGAACTTATTTAGCAAGAACGTTGAATGACCACCTTTGTTTTTTCTTTTCCTCTTTTCTTCTCCTTGCTTCGCAAGCTGCGATATGTAGGACATTAAAGTACAAGGATTTTTAAATATAGAATTTTCTTGCTGTAAATCATTTTTTATTACTGTAAGTCATTTTTTGTTACAGAGAGCTCTTTTATACTTTGGCTCTTTTTTTATGTATTTAGGAGCACTAATTGATGGTATTTATTTATTAGAAAAGAAGAGAGTCACTTTATAATATAATCATGCAAAGTTATTTTTATATTTGAATTATTTTACTCTTCCATGATTTTTCAATTTTTTTTGATCCATCGGGTTTTAGTTTCTTAACAAAAATGAATAACTGAAGAGGTTAATTCATTTTGCTTTATTTATATTTAAACGCCATTTCGTAGATTTATATTTATTTATAAAAATAAAATTATGCAATATATTATACATGTACAGTATTTAACTTAATTTTATTTAGTACATTATTAAATTAAGTACATAATATAAATTGGCAAATGTAACAAGTTTAAGCAAATTTAACATTTGAAAGAAAAAGTTTTACATTAAAGAACTCTGAAAAATAGATTGGAGCAACATAACTAATAAGGTCAATATAATTAGTAAAATGTATATGTACGAAACAGGTTCATTACAAAGTGTAACTTCACAGCGCCTTATAAAAGAGACGTAACATTCTTCGAGACCGTTTTAAACTTTTACTCGATCCCACATGCAGTAATCAACTTTTTCGACACCACTTTCGCATTAAACGATTCACTCCATTTTCTCCTCACAGTATCGAATGAAGTTCTTCTCGAAATAACTTATTTACGATACATTTGTGGTTTCGGCGTTCAGAAAGGTCAATCATGGTTATATAATTAGCAAAACGTTATAAAATAATTTAACACTTCTTTTTCAGCGAAGGTTATCGATTAACGAGGTAAGCGTCGACGCGGTAATAGAACGGCAGATTCGAATGTTGAAAAAGTGGAAGCCGTAAAATGAGATTTATCGCTAGAAAATACTGTGTACGTACCTATATATTGTTTGCGGTACACTGACTCGTTTTTGCCGCACGCAATTCCACGCGTTTCTGCAATAGCGTGACTATATCGTTAGGAGGTAATGAAACGTTTATTCGATATTGTTAAAACGCCGATTGTTATCGGCTGCTTTCCCATTCCTGAGAATCGGTCAGTGCGAAAAGCGAATGGGCTCTGCGGCCATGATTGTATGGTATTTTCTCTTTGAGGCTTTCAAAAGCCTGGCTCGGTTGTTAGAAAACACGTGGTTATTTGTGTAAGTAACAAACATAAATTGCGTGTGAGTAACAAAAATGAATCATGTGCGAATATGCAAGTGTGAATCATATGTAAATGATATAGGAAAATAAGTCATGTGTAGATAATGAATCACATATCGATAATGTATTAGAACAAATCATATAGGAATAATATACAGAAATAAATCATGGTTAAGTAATATACAAAAATGAGAATACATATGTACAAATCTACATATATGTATGTATACATGAGTACTTAATATCAGAAAGAGATAAAGAAAAATATGAAATTTTCACCTAAACAAGGTTTAATATATAACTTAATAATAATAACCTTAAGTTATCAAGTTTGAAGATCCCCACAATCCCACCAAAACTATAAGCAAGAAATTATTCAATCAGTAACCAAATATAAAAATTTTGAATATAAAATATCGGTTGTTGAGCATCGAATGTCAATTATAAATGTATTTACTAGAAGAATGAATTTGCGTCTGAGGGATTTGTTGAATAAACCCAACTTCTATAGGATAGATAAAAAGATTGCATAATTTCAAATAAATCCGAGGGGTACATTTGAAGCATCAACTACGTAGTTCTAAGCCTCGATTTTTCAACGGCGACCGATAACAATTATAGAGAAGAGGGTTACTAAGCCCCCTGAAGATTCTAATGCGCAAACAATTCGCATACATCATCGTTGACTGTCCATCGTCAACGAAATCCGGTTTTCGACAATACTTGTTGCATGGTGTTTCACTGTCCTGACCGAGGGTCAAACTTTTCACCTCGTAGGGGATGAAAAAGGGGAACCTGCGACAAGAAAGACCAAATTACTAAGATTTATAATAAGAATATTCCTAGCGCAGTTGTAAGGCCGTATCAAAGAGACTCATCCGTTCCGCTAGTAAGATCGCCCCTTATTTTATTGGAGCAGTGAACAATAATTTTATATTACGCTTATTTCGAGTAAAAACATAACAATTTACGAATAGTTCGAACTAGATGTCTTTGTTAGTTTGGTGGTAGATGTAAGATGATTAAATGTTGCGGAGAGAGAAGTTAAATTTTAGTATGTGGAATTAGGTGCAAATTCTGAAATGTCGCGTGGAATTCGAGATAGTATTGCTGGAATATCATAGCGTTAAGTTTTGTAAGGTTGAGTGCTGTAGCGTTGAATTTCAACACGTCGAATTCGAGTGGAATTCTATTATTTCGACTTCTATCATGTGGAATAATATATGTCGAATCTTGTCGCGTGGTATTCCATTTCGTCGAATTCCATCGTTAGGTATTTACATCGAATTCCATAATGTCGAATTCCTTTGCGCAGAATTTTATCGCGTCGAATTCCATTATTGGGAAATGCATAGTATCGAATATCACACGACAGAATTCTGCGTGGTGGAATTCCATCACTTCGAATACTATAACGTGGAAATCTATCTTCTCGAATTTCAACGTTAGGAATTCTATTACATCAAGTTGGGGAATATCGAATTCCATCGCGTAGAATTTCATCGCATCGAATTTCATCACGTTGAGTACCATGGTATCGAATTTCATCGCGTCGAATTTTATCGCGTGGAATTCCATCGCGTTGAATTCCATAGTATCGAATTTCATTGCGTAGAATTTTATCGCGTCGAATTCCATCACGTTGAATACCATAGTATCGAATTCCATCGCGTCGAATTCCATCGCGCAGAATTCCATTACATAGAATTCCATCGCGTAGAATTTTATCGCGTGGAATTCCATCGCATTAAATACCATAATATCGAATTTCATTGCGTAGAATTTTATCGCATCGAATTCCATCACGTTGAGTACCATAGTATCGAATTCCATCGCGTCGAATTCCATCGCGCAGAATTCCATTACATAGAATTCCATCGCGTAGAATTTTATCGCGTGGAATTCCATCGCGTTGAATTCCATAGTATCGAATTTCATTGCGTAGTATTTTATCGCGTCGAATTCCATCACGTTGAGTACCATAGTATCGAATTCCATCGCGTCGAATTCCATCGCGCAGAATTCCATTACATAGAATTCCATTGCGTAGAATTCTATCGCGTGGAATTCCGTCACTTCTAATTCTATATTATGGAATTCCATCGCGTCGAATTCCATCACTAGGAATTCCACCTTGTCAAATTCCATCGCTTTGAATTCTATCGTATAAACTCCGCTATATCAGAATTCCATTACTTCAAATTCTATCGCATGAAATTTCATCATATGAAACTTCGACACGTAGAATTCCATCTCTTCGAATTCCATCACACGATAATTCCACATAATGATACTTCAGCACGTACAATTCCATCACTTCAATTTCTATCACATAAAATTCCATCAAAAAAATTTCTACACATAAACTTCCCTCACTTCAAATTCTATTATACGCAATTCCATCGCTATTAATTCCATCCTCTCAAATTTTACAAATTCCAATTCCATCTTCTCCCTAAAAATTCCTCACAATATTAAATTACACAGCAAATTCCGACACGTGTACCTTCGCTTCCACCATATAAAATTCCACAAGTGACAAAAATGTAGAGACTCAAACGCGTGGTCGAAGCATTGAAGTCTCCCAGATTCGGCGCATCTCGCGTGCCGGCATCGAAATCACCGCGGCCTGGTTAAACCCGCTCGTGTTCTCGCGTAATGGTCGGCGCGACCGGTTCGCGCGTTTCATTCAGAGAGACGTCGATGTTGCATCTATTCACGTGCACGGCTACAATACATCATAAGCTACCTGTTCGACGGAAGACCGGTCACTGGTCGGCGTTGCCCGCGTTTCGAGAGTAAACAGAACCCGGCGGAGATAAAAAAAGCAACCGTAGAGGAACGACTTCGATCGGTCAATAGTAGCAGGTGCTAAAAGACCACCGCATTTTTCTTCTATTTGCAGTCACGATTTTCTAGGAATTTTTTATGCGAGAATTTATAACGGAGACTTTGGAGATGAAGATCAATTTTTTTAGGGTTCAATGTTTGTTAACAGAAATTTTTACATTTATTGAATATTTTTGCTGATGTTTGATAAAAATTGTCGAATAACGATATTGGTTATTGACTGAAGATATAAATTATTATTTGATACGATAAAATGAATGAAATGAATTTAGTAAACTTTTCAGACAAAATATTTAAAAATTGTCCAACAATAAAAATACTATCTAAAATAAATGAGGTCTACATTAAATCAGATTTTTGTAAACAAAACAGTTTCCTAAAAATCCATTCTCCAAAATTTTCAGATAAAACCTTCTTATACCTTTCCAAACATGCATCCTTTTGATGCAGTTTCGAATTTTATTCAATATAAAGCCATGTTCAATTTCACTCCATGAAAGGAAGTTAAGAAGCTGACGACTGAGAAAGGGATTTATCTAGCAGATGATAAATGACAGTGTCATCGCGGAGGACACGCATTTCACCGATAATAACTTGTCGTCAGTCGTTCAGAAGGATGCGCGCAATTACGAGTGACACGACCCACGACAGAGTCTACCGAAAGCAACGAGTGATGCATCTTCTTGCGTTATCTCTGACATGTTTAAATAAAACGAACAGTTTCGTCCATTCGGCTGTCCTTCCCCCGATACAGCGGCAAGGCATCGGCATTCCACTTGTCGCGATTCCGCGAGATTTTCCAACAGCACGCTGTTGGGACTTTACCGTTCGTCGTGATGAATCGATAGAGCCTAACCGTGGTATGTGCTGAAATACCTAACGTTCGTTGCATTGCGTAATGTCTGGATTTTTGAAAGTCTTGTTCAGAGATTGTTTCATCAAATTTTGGTGGTAAAGGTAAGTTAAATGGTAAAGTTAAGTTAATGTTTGGTACAATTAAGAATTGTTAAGGGATCCTATTTGGGTTTGTTAAGGATAACAAAAATATGGGGCTCACTTCATGGTGTAGAGGATAGTGAATTCCATTAATATTGACATTCTAGAAATTTTTGGAGAATTTCTAGAACAGTAATGAGAAGTTTTTAAGTCTTAAAATTTGAGAATTCTAATTTCTAATTTAAAAATTTCAAATTTTGCAATTTGTCAATTTTTAGATAGAGAAATTTTCAAGTAGCATATTTTCGAGTTTAAAAATTTCAAATTCCTTATATTCCTATATCTTTAAATTCCCTAGATTTTCCAAATTTTCTAGATCTCCAAATTCCCTAGATCTTCAAATTGGCTAGATTTTCAAAATTTCCTAAATCTTCAAATTCCCTAAATATTCCAATTCCACATATTTTTAAATTCCCTAGATATTCAAATTCTACAGATCTTTAAATTCCCTAGATCTTCAAATTCCCTAGATCACTAATCCCTCAAATCACAAATTTTCATGTTTTTAAATTTTCAAATTTCCAAATTTCAAATTCCCAAATTTTCGAACCCCAAATTCTACTATTTTCAAATTGCCAAATTTTCCAAATTTCCCTATTCCCAAATTCCCAAATTTTCCAAATTCCTCAAATTCTCCAAATTCCCAACTTCCTAAATTTCCTAAATTCCCCAAATTCCTAAATGCCTAAATTCCTAAATTTCCAAATTCCCAAATTCCCAAATTCCCAAATTCCCAAATTCCCAAATTCCCAAATTCCCAAATTCCCAAATTCCCAAATTCCCAAATTCCCAAATTCCCAAATTCCCAAATTCCCAAATTCCCAAATTCCCAAATTCCCAAATTCCCAAATTCCCAAATTCCCAAATTCCCAAATTCCCAAATTCCCAAATTCCCAAATTCCCAAATTCCCAAATTCCCAAATTCCCAAATTCCCAAATTCCCAAATTCCCAAATTCCCAAATTCCCAAATTCCCAAATTCCCAAATTCCTAAATTCCCAAATTCCCAAATTCCCAAATTCCCAAATGTCCTCACCAATATACATTGGCAATAAATTTCGGGCGTCACAATCCGAGTGTAGAAAACCTGTTAAATTCCCAAATTTTCCATTTTCCTCAAATTCCCCAAAATCTCCAAATTCTCCAAACTCCCGAAACTCCCCAAATTCTCCAAATTTCCCAAATTCCTCAAATTCCCCAAATTTCCCAAATTCCCCAAATTCCCCAAATTCCCCAAATTCCCC